GATCAAGCCCTTTGTGGGGTGATTGCTGAGGTGGTGCCTTTGAGCTTTAGAGGTGGAAGTATCCCAGCCCTGGGCTGGCTCGCCTCGACCCAAGGTGCAGGGAACTGGTCCGGGCACACGGCAGCATGAAAGATGGGCTGTTTGTTCCGGGCGCTGCCGGTTGGCGTATGCCGCTTGGCTCGGGGCGTGGGCAGGGTTTGCTTCTCTAACCCATGGAGCTATCCCCTCCGTGTCCTTCCTTCATCGCCTCGCACGTTGCGCCTGTCTGTTTTCCCATGCTTTGCCTTCCAAAAATCTGGGGACAAAGCCCCTCGAGGCTGTTTCTCACAGGAAATGATGGTGTCCTCACATCGCCTGCAGACATGGCGTAGGGCGGGAAGGCTTCGTTCGGGTCGCGATCCCGAGGGGCTGGCATGGCGCACGGAAGCGGTGACAGGACCCCCGCTGCTTGCCTCGCTCAGGGCACCTCAGGCTTCCACGGCGAGGCTTTGGCAAGCTCTGCGGGGACGCTGGGACCCATCTCGCCCCCGGTTCAGCGAAGCTTTTTTGCACAGCGTCGCAGGCAGCGTTCAGCCAGGGAGAGCCGTATGCGATGCGTCCTGGAGACCTGAACGCGGCTGCAACGGCGAGCCGGGGGATGGTGGCACGTAATTAATTTGGGAACATGTGTTCGCTTTCTGGTGAGTTATTATCTTGTCAGAGGCTCACTGGAAGCAAAGGGGTGGGAGAAGGCAGAAGGGAGATGAGTCGGGCTGCGAAAATCAGGAGGAGCGAGGGAAGGAGAAAGGAATATGGATGCACGAGGCAGCTGCCCGTGCCTTGAATTGACATTGCGCGGGACCCAAGCGCAGTGTTTTTATCTGTTGGGTTTACCTCGGTGCCCCGTTCCAGACCGGCACCTCGCCTCCACAACCCCCCCACCGCCGTGACAGCCGAGATCCCCTGTACCGGGGGCCTTGCGACCCAGGGCACTCACCGCTGCCTTGATGGCGATCTCTCTGACGTGCCCAGAGTGGCTTATCCACACCGTGCAAGAGGCATCCTTCAGTTATTTCTACCTCTATATTTCGGGCTGCTCACGGCTGTGGGGCTCGGCTGTCTCTAGTTGGAGGCTCCCGAACGCTGCCGAGCTCACGGGCTCTCTTCGTGATGTGGGATATTGATTATGCATCGAGTCCGTCTTGGCTATTTTGCAGCTCCAGGCTGAGTTTTCCCCCCTTGCTCCTTTGTGCTTGTGCTTCGTCTTCCCTGAGGTTTGTTTTTTTTTTTGTGGAGATCTGCAGAGTTGCAGGTCTGGCAGAGCAAAGTCCGAAATGGTGCGGGGTAATCTGTGCTCCCGCTCACCACCCAGGTGGATTCGGGCTCTGGTTTTCCATCTCCCCAGCTCGCACTCTGTTATCCTCGGCTGATGAGCAAGGATTATGCTTTTACCTATCCGTGGCTGTTCCATTTCTGGCCTGTATTATATTATTAGTTTTAATAATAATAATGATGGGTGCTGGCTGTGCTGGTTTTCTAGCTCCTGAGGAGAGAGCTCTCCCATTAATTCCCGCAACATTTCAGCTCTTAATTGTGCTCACAGCCTTGAAAAGTTCCCACCATCCCTTCAGGTGGAGCAGGACCAAGTACCTCCAGGGGAGCTGCGGGGCCCTGGGCTGGCCCTGCCCCGAGCATCCCCGAGCTCTGGGTGCTTTTGGAGTCAGGGACCAGGGCAGTTGGGTGCCCCTCGCGTTCCTCTAGCTCCAACCCTGCGGGAGGACCGCGGCGCAATCCCGAAGGGCCCGATGTATGTGAGACTGGTTCGTGAAACAATACCCGTCCTAAACCTGGGCTTGGGGCTTGCCTCGCTCCTAAGCCTGGGGAGCTGAGATTCACCCAAAGCAGCATCTGTGTCCCCATGCAACCCGGCACTTGGATAAATGTCTCTCCCACGCCCCGCCAGCCCCCCCAGCAGCCACGGTGACACAGGCACCCCGTTGCATTCTCTAAAGCAAAGTCTGCCCTTACAGATTGCATTTGCTTAACCCTGGCCCTGCTCCCTGGGTCCTGTCTGTTTGTTTTTTCCAATTCTAGCATAACTAGTGAATGAGTTTTGTCCAACTGTCAACAAGACTTCCATTATAGAGAGGCACAAACGCCAAGGAGCCGAGTTTTTCTCTGCCCAAACTTTCGCCCCTCATCTGACACGGGCACCAATGTGACCTGGCAGCAAAGTGGTTTTACCCACCCGGTTTTCCTGCAAAACCCCTGGCACAGGAGGGGACGGGGGACACAGTGGGTGTCCCGATCACCTCACGTCACCCGCTTGGCCAGCATGAAGTGGTGCCCTCGGGGCAGGGCTCCCTCGTGTCACCTTATTCCTTGAGATGCTATAGCTGGCACTAAGGAAGCAGGACCCGGCCAGAGCCTCTAGCAGGGGTATTCTTTCTAATTGCTGTCGTTATCTGAGAATGTGTAATACCAGATCGTGCTCAGGGTGAAAGCAGGCATCAGATCCGATGCAAAGCATCCCCGTTTCGGTCCGGGGCAAGCTCTGTGCGTGAGGGTCCACGGGCTGTAGCCAAAATCCCCCAGGTGCTGATGCAAAACGAGCCAGACCCCGAAACCCTGAACTCTTCGCTCTCTGCCTCTCCGTCGGCCGATTACTTCTCTCAGAGCTCAGCGCTACGCAGGCACAGAGGAAGCCTTCATCTCTCCATTTCCTGAGCTTCCGCAGGTGGAAAGCTGACCCTCGCAGTTACTTTCATGACGTCTTTTGCTGGGTAATGAAATGCACTCGAGCTGCTTTGCTCCCCGATCAAACCGGGGATGCGCGCTACAGCTCGGCTACGGCGAGAGCTAATTCTTGCCGTGGGTGAGCCAGCTCCGGCACGCTCGGGGAGGGGCCTTTGGTTAGTTAGGAAGCAGAGTGTTATCTAAGCCTCTGCACAAACTGGAGTCAGATTTGCGCACGGAGCATCTGAAGGCCACCGGCTGTGTCGTTATTTTATCAGCAGGCAGCGCTGTGCTACAGAGAAGCTGATTCTAGGTCAGCCATAAAAGGGATTTTTTTTTTTTTTAATTTTTTTTTTTTTTTCTCCCCCCCCTCTCCTTTTTTTGCGGCGCACAGTGCTGCAGGCCCAGTGGATGTAACGCTGCGATTTTTGTGTCTCCAAAGGGTATTGATTGTGGGTAACGCCTCCGTATCTTGCCCTTCAGTTGCGCTACGTACTGATGAGCGCAGCAGTTTCGACCGTGGTGGGAATTTCGGCGCGGGGGCTGCGGGCGCGGGCGGACGTCAGCAGTTCATCACGGCGGGTCGCGCAGGAAAACTTGCTTCCGCCGCTTTCCAAAACCCCCGGGGCGGTGCGGGGCTGCCTTCCCAGTTAGGCCAGCCTGGGATAGCGGGATGCGTGCCTGTGTGTGCGCGGCACCCTCGGTTCAGCTGCCGAGGGTGCGAGCGAGCAGCGAACGTGTCCCGGGGCCGCCGTGCAAGGTTTGGTGCAGGAAAGAGAGAGAGACAATTGTTACGATTTTATTTTACGGCTGAGCGTATTTGCCCTAGTTTGAGCTGAAAATAGCAGCACCTGGGATTGCAGCAGCGAGATGCCCAGGCCCCGCGGGGAAGGGATGCTCGCAAAGGACCAGCCAGTGGGATGCAGGCGGTGCGTGCCCCGACGGGAGCCTCCCGCCTGCGTGTGTTAGGAGCCAGATGCAGAGGGTTGGCCGGGCGAGCCGCGGCCCCTCGGCGGTGAGAGCTGGGTGGGAGGCGAGGGCGAGCGCAGGATCCAAACCCACCCGGGTCCCCCTGGGGCCGGGGGCCTGCGCCTGGCCTCTCTGCCGTTGGCACTCACTCCCAGAAACAGCTGTCCGGAGCTAATTTATTTCCTAATGCTGCTGCAATGTTAATTTATAAATTACACTGGTAATTCGAGCTATTATTAATTTCAGATGGTGTAGGGCAAGCCTAATTAAAATATGACACCAATTGCCACACATATGTACCAAGGACTACCGTTTAAAATTTATAGGAATATTAAGTGTGACACCGGTCTCGGAGATGCTTCGCGCAGTAATTACAGCATCTCGGCTGCGGGAGATCCGATGGGGAGATGTAAACGAAAAGGAGGAAGATGTCCCCGTTTGGAGCGGGGGGGGGGGGGCTGTCAAAAACCCGCTCGTGCCGTTTGTTCGGGGGCGAGCGGCGTTTCTCCAGGACGTTTGGCAGGGCACGTCCTAACTGCCAGCTTGCCTTCCTTGAACTCTGCATTCGCTGTAACGCCGCGGCCGCCACCGACCCGGAGACTGTCGCGGCCCCGGCGCCCGTGTCTCGCCGGCCGAGCGCCGTGGGTTTCCAGGAGCACTTCGAAGCGAAGCAGGCTCTGGGAAGGAAAGGGGGGCCCCGTTAGATGGCAGAAAAAAGGAAGTACTGCTGAAGAAGTCTGCCTGGATTTGAGAAAAGCCAGGAGCTGTGGCGCAGCCTGGGCCGGGGAGAGGGGAGAGAGCACAGCCCCCGCCGCGGGGACCACTGAAATGAGCCTGGAGTGGCACCGGGACAAAGCGTTTCAGCTGAAGGGAGATGTTGGCACCACAACTAACGGGAATAAACTGGCTGTGAAGTAATTGAAGGTGAAAAATTAGAGCTGGGTGAGCCCAGCGGTGCCTCCCAGCAAGAGGAGAGGGGGGTGGGATGCGGAGATGTCAAGGAGAGGCGATTTCAGGTCGTTCTAGCAGGGGGCAGGTCTGGTAAGGACCACTCTGCCCCCCTCCCCGCGCATGCTGGGGACATCATCTCCAGCAAATGATGTGCTTGGCCGGGGCTGAGGCCACCGCAGAGGTTCCAGCGCTCGCAGGCACCTTTCTGGCAGGGGTGTTGTTGGGGTAGTGGGGCAGAGGCACTGGGATTCGCAGGGTGGATGTCCTCGGGTGGCGTGACACGGTCACAGAGGGTGACGGGTTGGTGGGCACAGGTTTGTCGTGTCTCCCCATCACTCACAGCCCCTCTCCTTCTGCCTCTGCAGCCGTGGGCTTCATCAGCGAGGACGAGTACCTGGAGATCACGGGCATCACGCGGGAGCAGTCCGGGGAGTACGAGTGCAGCGCCTCCAACGACGTGGCAGCGCCTGTCGTCCAGCGAGTCAAAGTCACCGTCAACTGTGAGGAGGCCGGGGGGGCTGCTGGGGACAGGGACAGAGCGGGTCACCGTGCTGCCCCACGAGGGGATGGGACTTCGGTGGGGGGGGAAGCGAGGCGAACCCATCTTCTGGGCCCCAGAGCTGAGACAGGTGGCGGCGGTTTTCTGAGCAGGTGGTGTTTTGCCCCTTTTTTCCCCTTCTTTTCGAGCTCCACTTTTTTTCTACCACCTCCTCCTCAGCTGTCTCCATCAACCTGGGTTTTCCGCCCATGGTGAGATGCTGTGCCGATAACCTCCGGGGAGAGGAGAGAAGTGAGCAGTAAATAGGAATTTTTTTCCTTTAGAGAAAAATGGGAGAGAGAAAGCAAGCACGAGGTAGAAAGCAGCACCATTTCTGCTCAGAGGCAGAGGTGAAGAATCTCCTAAACTCCTCTCTGGCCACCCCTTCAGCTGCATGGGGTTGGCACAGGGGCTGGGCTGCGGTGTGGGGTCCTCTATGACCCCCCAAAATCCCTGGAGAGCAGCACCAGAGTGGCAGGAGCTGGGTGTGGGCTCAGAGATGATTTTGGCTCCTTCCAAAGTGCAGAGAAAGAAAAGGGAACTTGAGGAGCGAGGGGAGGGGGGTAGGACGCCCCAAAGCTGCTGGGCGTTGACCCCAGGTTTCCCATCCCCTCCCCGCAGACCCGCCGTACATCTCGGATGCGAAGAGCACCGGGGTGCCGGTGGGGCAGAAGGGCATCCTGCTCTGCGAAGCTTCGGCCGTCCCCTCCGCCGACTTCCAGTGGTACAAAGACGACAAGCGGTAAGAGCCCCGGGGGGGGGGGGGGGGGGGGGGGGAAGGCAAAACAGGGGGGCAGGGGCAAGCTGCCCCTTCGCTTGTTGGGGGGCTGATCTGGGCGTTTCAGCAGGCGGCCGGCACCCTCCGCCGCTCAGTATCTTTTCGAAGCGTGCCAGGGATTTATATTTAGCTCAACGCTGTCTGCGCGGTGGAAAATAGATGAGGGGCAGCTGAGGTGGTGGGGGGGGGCAGGGCAGAATTTTTCCAGGATTTTTCCAGGAGCCTCTTCCAGCCAGACAGGTTTTGGCCTCCGTCTGGGTAGGCAGCGCAGGCAGGATCGCTGCGGCCGCCCGTGCCTCCGGTTGACAACCTCACGGTAAATTTGGGTGAAGCGTAACGGCCGAGAGTGATGTTGGCAGCGCAAATCCAAGCACTTAAGAGCGGGTGAAACCCCTGCCGCTTTTCGAAAAGGCAGGGTCAGCCCCTTGCTCTTGAGAAGCCGGAAGAAACGCAGCATCAGTCGAGAGGCTTTTGCTACGCTGGCCTGCCCAGCGCTGGGGTGAAAAATCGCCTTTTTAGGTCAACCGGCAGCTCTCGTGTCCAGCCAAAGCCGTGGCTGGGGAGCGAGGAGGGGGAGCAGTGCAGCCAGGGGTAGGGTCCAGCTCTGGAGCAAACGTCTCCGACCCCAAACAAAGCTTTTTTAACCCGTTTTTGCATCGCTTCTCCCTGGGAAGCCCAGAGGGGCTGGGGTGGATGCAAACACAGGACAAGCCATGCAGGTTACTGGTAAGGAGGCATGGTTTAGCCAAAAAAAAGGGCTAGAGGGGAGGCTGGGGCCACCCGCTTAGGCTGTTTTGGGAGGAAAGAAGCAGGCGGAGTGTAAAAAGCGGCGGATGTTTGCATGGCAGATGAAAGGCTTCGCTCAGAAGTAGGTCAGATCACGAGGGCCCGCGAAGCGGCGGCGGGAGCAGGCTCAGCCAGCCCGGCTCGGCAGCCGGAGCCCGACAGGAACGATCACGGAGATCCAGCACCTCCCGGGAGGAATTAGCAAGGAAAAGAGCCTCAGGAGCGGAGTGGGAGGGGGGACGCCAGTTCAGGGAAGTCAAAGCACTTGGATGATGCTCCGGCATTTGTGCCGGAGGAGAAGTGCCTCCCGGCGAGGCGGTGCAGAGCGTTTGGGTCCACCCGAAGGTATTTGCTGCAGCGTCTGCTGCCTGTGCACGCTGCCAGCCCCACGCGGGGCACGGCAGGGAGCTGGCAGGGGTGAGGGAAGGCATCCCGCAGAGCAGGGGGGAACGAGGATACACACACCCCCCACCCCGAGGCAGACGCGAGAGGGAAGCCTGGCTTTTTTGGTGGTGGGAAGGAGCCTTTCCCAGTAGCCTCCCTGGGCGTGGGAGCATCCCGAGCCCCAGCCTTCATCAGTGACTCTGCATCTGTGAGGATGCCTCCAGGCAGCACGGGGACGCTGTGGGCTGGCAGCTAAGGGACAAGACCCAGCAGAGCAGTGTCCATCTCCTATATCTCTCCTCGTGCCTTCCCTTCTCCCTCTTCGTGGAGTTCAACACAGCCAAGGGCAAGGTCCTGCCCGTGGGTCGGGGCAATCCCCAGTGCAAACCCAGGCTGGGCGAGGAGGGGTTGCAGAGGAGGGGTTGCCCCAAGGAGAGGGACTTGGGGGTGTTGGTGGGGGGGGAAACTGCTCATGAGCCAGCACCGTGCGCTTGCAGCCCAGAACCCACCCGTGCCCTGGGCTGCAGCCAGAGCAGGGGGGGCAGCGGGGCCAGGGAGGGGATTCTCCCCCTCTGCTCCGCTCTGGGGAGACCCCCCTGCAGTGCTGGGGCCAGCTCGGGGGCCCCCAACAGCAGAAGGACACGGAGCTGCTCGAGCGGGGCCAGAGGAGGCCACGGAGATGCTGGGGGGCTGGAGCAGCTCCCCTGGGGGGCCGGGCTGAGAGAGTTGGGGGGGTTCAGCCTGGAGAAGAGAAGGGTCCGGGGAGACCTTCGAGCGGCCTCCCAGGGCTTAAAGGGGGGGCAGGGAAGGTGGGGGGGGACTCTGGATCAGAGCGTGGGGATAGGATGAGGGGTGACAGTTTTAAGCTAAAAGAGGGCAGATTTAGGTGAGTTGTAAGGCAGAAATCCTTCCCTGTTTGGGGGGTGAGGTGCTGGCCCAGGGTGCCCAGAGCAGCTGTGGCTGCCCCCTCCCTGGAAGGGTTCAAGGCCAGGTTGGACGGGGCTGGGAGCCCCCTGGGCTGGGGGAAGGGGGCCCTGCCCGGGGCAGGGGGTTGGGACTGGAGGGGCTTTAATGTCTTTTCCAACCCAAACCAGTCTGCGATTCATGCCCGATCTTTCCCTCGAGCTCGACATCCCCGCTCACAGGCAGGACCAGGGGATAGCGGGTCGTGGAAAAGAGCAGGCGCTTCTCCTCCTGATGCCACCCCCGTGACCCTCTCCCCTTCTGCCTCCCTCCCAGGCTGGCTGAAGGACAGAAAGGGCTGAAAGTGGAGAACAAAGCCTTCTTCTCCAGACTGACTTTCTTCAACGTCTCCGAGCAGGACTACGGCAACTACACCTGCGTAGCCTCCAACCAGCTAGGAAACACCAACGCCAGCATGATCCTCTACGGTAAGTAGGGTCAAGGGAGCCAGGCGGGGAGGGGACATGGCTTAACAGTGAGACCACTGCCACAGGAGACGTGGGATGGGTCTCTTTTTGTCTTTTGGGGGAGAGGTGCGATTGCTGCTGATCCTTTCTGCCCTGGTGCCGTGGGTTGGAGGCCGTGGCGAGCGTAGGGAAAGTGGAAAGCTTCCAAACCTACCTCCTGATTCAGGTCCCGCTGTTCAGAGGCGTTTGGCACTGGGTTTGGGATCTGCTGTCAAGGCAAGGATTTGGCTGAGGGTTTCCATCTACTCTTTCTGACAAATATCTAGGAGAGTCTCGGGTTCACAGCATCCTCCTGTGTTGAACGGCGGGAGGAGGCGGGGAGGGGGAGCAGCTCTGTACCCTCACCTGGGGGCTGTTTTCGCCACGTGCTGGAGGTGGGATGAGAGCGATGCATCCATCTGACACCACTTATGACCAGGAAGGGCTGTAATCGCTCGACACACTTCTCAAACCTCGTCAGCCAGCGGCAGAGCCAGAGCAGGGGCCGCGCTCCCCAGATCCTTCTCACGACCACCAAGAGCTGGAGATGGCCAGCAGCCCTTGGCCCTGGCCACTGCCAGGGGTATGGAGCGGGCAGTCCTCATTGCTGAACCGTAGAGGAGGAGCAGGACTTGGGGACCTCCGTCAGCTCCTGAGGTCACCCCAACATTGTCCCACCCCATGGTGAGCGTTGACCATGGGTGACGTTAATCCCGGCCCATGGTAAGCGAACCACGGAGCAGGGGTTGGCATTAATCACCACTAAGAGCATTTGATGCAAAGCACGGCCTTGAGCCGTCCGGGTATTGCAAACCCTTTCCTAGCATGTCCCAAGGACTTAATTAAACCCACAGAGAGCGTGCGGGAGAACCCCTCTTCTGTAGGAAAGACGGGGCTGGAGCGCAACAAGGTCCTGGTGGGTCCAAGCATGGGGGCTCGGCCGGCTTGCGGGTGTGCGATGGTTGCAAGAAGTGGAAGGAAAACCCAGTAGAACGAAGGGAGCGCTGCAGGGTAGGAGGAAGGGTGTCCCTGGGAATCTGGTCTCCTTGTAGAAGGCAACGCCCATCCCACGTCTTCCTTCCATCGTCGTGTACGTGCGTGGGAAGCTTTTCTGGTGCAGCGTGAGCGGGTGCGGTGCCTGGCCGGGCAGGGGCTCGGTAGGTGCTTCTGTGGGGTTTGTCACCCTTTTGCAATGGCCGTGCAGTGTGTGGTGTCGCTTCCCCCCGCCAAAGCAGCACACCCTTTTTTCCTCCCGGATAGTTTTGCTCTCCCTGGAAGGGGGCCGATGTGTTGGCAACCAGCTGCCATCATCCCGGGCATCCCCACCGTCCTCCGCATCTCCCATGCCGGTGTCTTTGCAAAGTCATAAATAATCCATTGTCATGTGAATTTTTCTCTTCCATTGTTTTCTCCCCTGGGCGCACAAGCTCGAGCAGCGTGCGCCGGGCAACTTGCAAGCCTCCGTGCTGCAAAGCATTGTGTTCCTGGCTGTTCTGCCTTGGATTTTCCTCACTACTGGATGTCTGGAGAGGGGGGAGAGGAAGGGGAGAGGAGCCTTCCTCGCCCCCAGGTTCCCTCAGTGGGGCGGCTCAGGGCTAGGAGGCTGGGTGCCTTAGCAGTACGGAGTGCATTGGAATAGCACCCGAACACACGTCAGGTTGTTTAACGTGTCAGCACCAACGTGGGTAGAGCGAGGTGCGTTGAGACCCTGGGAAGTGATGTCTGCTTCTCGCCGTCCTTGGGGAGGGGCTGGACGTGGTTGAGGGGGAGCCCCAGCCCAGCCAAGAGGTTTCTCGAGGGAGATCGGCAGCTGCGTTGGGTTCTCCCGAGCAGAGTTTGTCTCATCTTGGGTGCTGGGCTCCATGCCGGCAGCGCCAATGTAGAGCTAACCTTGGATGTTAATGAGCCGAATAACCATTTGTTCCCCACAAAAGTCAGTGCTGTGAGTGATGGACATTAGCGCCTTTACCTGCCCGTTAAGCCATCGTTAGCGTTGCCTAGGAGCTATCCTGAATCTCTTCCCCACTGGGCTTCCTGGTAATTGGTGTCCCAAATAAACCCATTTTTTAGGGAGATAGATTCCACTGGCACCGCAGAGCTGCCCAGGCTGGCTGTGCCAAGCCCCAGCCACGTGTCTGTCCTTAACCTTGTCATTGTAGGCTCCCTACGGGGCTTTATGGGGTTAAAATCTTAAGTAGCGTGGGACCTTGGTCTGGCAGGCTGGATGAACAGCCCCCCCCAAATTGAAGACAACTCCCCACTGACAGCTCAGAGCGCTGCCAGGTGTTTGGTTCCTAACCCCCCGAGCGATGTTTTGTACAACTCGTGGCAGCGTTGTGCAAAATCTCAGCCTGTTTCACGATCCCCGCCCTTAGCACTGTCGGCCTGACTGTGACTCCCATCAGGGAACAAAATTGGAGTCCTTTGACCGGCTGTAATTTCCATAAAGCCACAGTGATTTAATGATCCTTTCAGTCTTTATTAATCGAGTCCCCTCAGGGCTCCCCAGGCTGCCCTAACCCGCCGCGGCCCCGAGGGGACTGTGACACGCGGGGGTCCCCCATCTCCTGGCACAGGGGTCCCTGGCACTGCCGGGAGTGACACACCCCACCACCACCCCCCCTCCTTCCACCCCATAATTAGCAGCAATGCGGCCAGCCCTGCGCATCGCTGCCGAGCTCGCTGGTCCCTAAGCAACCGCCACCTTCGTGGCGACTCACGTGTCTTTATTTATCGTAACGAAAGACAAGAGGGAGGTTGCACGCAACGGCCACGCTGCCTGCGGCGCGAGGAACGCCTCACCCGTGAGGTTTTGAGGGACGACTTTCTGAGTCTCCCCTTTTCCCTGAAGCTGAGTGTTTTGGGAGTTCCCCCCCCACCCACCCACTCCTTCGCCAAATGGATGTTTAACCCGTGTGGGTGCTGTGACATGAGCCTTTCCGAGGCTCTGTGACAGAGGCTAATGTAGCATACATCTTTTAATACTTTTTTTTTTTTTTAATCTAATTTTTGAAGGAGGTCAACTGGTGCTTTATTTAACACGTAGCACTTGTTATTATAGGCCTGCCGCCTCACTCAGCAGCTCATTTGGTGCTGTCTGTAACATGATGGAGTGCTCGGTGGAACCGCATTGGTTTGTGGAGCTGGGGAAAAGCAAAGCCCCCGTCGCGCGGTCCGCGTCGCTTCCCGGAGGCTGGTGTCGGGCGATAAACCTGTTTTGGGGACATTGCAGAGGATCGACCCGTTTTGCATATTGCAAGAGGGATGGGCCCCGCATCAGAGGGGAACAGGAGGAGCACAGGGGAGAGCAGAACCCCCAGAATCCCCCAAATCCCAGCCCCTGAGCTTTGCTTTTTTCTCGGGGTGCCACCGCAGACTCTTCCCGCACGGCGGGGGGTGGTGGGGACCGTGGCCCCAGAGGAGTGGGGTGCGATTTGGGCAGCAGCGTCACCCTCGCCGCCCCATCCACTTGCTTTCCCCAGGTCGAGGGCGGGCCGAGCAAAGCGTCTCGAGCCTGCGCTTTCCACTGCCCTTTTGCCTTAACTTTCGCTTGTTCTTTAATTTTTAGAAGAGACAACTACCGCTCTGACACCCTGGAAAGGTCAGTAATTTGGGGACCCCCCGCAATGCCAGTGCCCCCCCCCCGCTCCGTCTCCCCACAGGCTCCCACCCCGTGGGGATAGTGATGATTTTAGGGCTTTCTAGCTGCCCTCCCACCCCGTTTCCTCCCTGCCAGCCCACTGTGCCCATCTGATCATGGTCCGTGCCCTCTGCATGCCCCCGTCGTGGTCCTGTGCTCCCTCCCCATCGCTGCTGCGCAAGCAGGGATGGTTCTGTGCTCCGCTTTCCCCGCGTTGATGTGTAAATGGTCTTGTGGCAGGTCTGGGATGCTCCTAGTGCCTTTTTTTCCAGGGTGGAGAGGCATCCAGACCTCTTCCCGGCGTTCTTTGTGGCTGGGGCCTCCGGTGCTCTGCCACGCAAGCTTATTAGCCGGCCAGCGGGCTCGGTGCCATCTTGATTTTGGGGCTCCGGAGCCAGGCAGCTTGATATTTGAGGCATCGAGTAGTCAGCCCTCGGGATGACTTGTAGACGTCGGGAGGGCTACGGGGCAGGGGGGGGGGCGTAGCGTGGAACAGTCCCGTCTCCAGATCTGCCCTGGCGCCCATCTTCCCGGCCGAGGGGGAAGCACTGTGAGGTGTCTCTGAGCGTGTTGGAAGAGCGCAACGGGCGGGAGACCAACTGGTTAATGGTTCTCAGTGCCCCCCGTCGGGCTTTGAAGTGAGGGGACGTGTCTGGGGCTTTCAAAAGCATGGGTTGATTGGACCCCACACTGGCAGGGCACCAGCCTGGTTGCCTTCCTGAGATATTTTCCCAGCCTAGCGTTCCCTGGGGCCAACTAGTTGGGGTGTGAGGTATGACCTCCTCACCCCAAAGGCGTGGTTGGGCTTGGGTCTTCTTGACTGCCCTCCTCATCTCATCTCATTCTTCTTGAGATGGTCCAGGCCTCCCACGGGGCACGTTAGTGACAGGGAGCCCCACACGGGCTCTGGGGAGGTGGAAAACACCGGGTCCGGAGTGCAGTGGTGCTGACGGTGTCTCGGCTGGGTGGGCCGGTGGTGATTGTGCCCCCCACCCCGAGGGAGACAAGTGGGGAACCATGGGATGCTGGAGCTGCCCGAGTATGGGGACAGTGGTTGGCCAAAAAGCCACCACCAGTGTGGCTGGAAAGTTGGATGAATGTTGGAGGAGGCCGGATGGCGGCGATGAGAAGGGGATGGGCTCGGGATGGGGATACGGGACCGTGGTGGCGGGGGGGGGGGGGGGGGGTTGTGTCCCAAACCCTGGGGTCAGTGGGAATGGGGACGGCTGGCACCGTCGCTCCCCGGGGCCCATGGGGGTGGCAATGACACCAGGTGCAAGAGGGGGCCCAAACAGTGTGGGTTTTTGTTGGTGTTGGGGTTTGTTTTTTTTTTTTTGGGGTGGTGTGGGGGCTGTGTTTTAAGGGTTTTGCTGGCTTTGTGACTAACCCAGCGGGCGTTCCTCTGCCTTCCCGCAGGCCCCGGAGCAGTGCACGACGGCAACAACGGAGCGTGGCGGCGAGGCGGCTCTGCGTGGCTGCTGGCCCTCCCACTCGCCCAGCTCGCCCGCCAGTTTTGACCCGCGAGCCGGCCCGCGGAGTAGCGGCGGCGACGACCACGGCCAGCGAGCACGAGCAGAAAGGAGAGGAAGATAAAAGAAGAAGTGTTCACTGTTTCCGAAAATAATCATAAGAATTGAGAGAGTATCCGGCCAGGCCACCTGGGGGAGGGGGAGAGAGGAAAAACACGCAAAAAAAAAAAAAAAAAAAAAAAAAAAATCCCGCAATGGGAATTTGGAAAGGAGAGAAAAGGGAAAAAAAAAAAAAAAATAATCCAAGGCTTCCTGCTGAAGATGCAACGCGACTGAGTCTTTTTCTTTTCGCCCTGTTTCTTTGGTCTCCCGCCCCTTTTTTTCCCCCCGTTTCCGCCGTTCTGTGCCGTGGGCCAGCGTGGAGGACGGGCAGGGCTGTGGGGGCACGGCGCTTCCCCCCCTCCCCGGTCCCCTCGGCCGCCCCCACCCGCCCGCTCCCTCCTGAGGGGACCCCCCTGTCCGGACGTGCTGGTTTTCTTCTTTGCTGAGATTTCCCCGTCTTCTCATGGACCGTGCCGCCATTTGTGTTTCAGAATATATATATATATATCCACGTATACATATATATATATATATATATGTATAGATATATAGATCTTCAACAGTTACCACGCTGCCACGAATGGAAAGGGAGGAAGGAGACCGGCGTCGAGCCATGCATTCATCGTACCACCCGCGGACATCGTGAATGAAAAGGGATTCTGAGTCATGGTTAATTTTATTAATTGTATTTTCTGATACGAGCCTAGAACTCTTAGTTCCTAAAAAACAGAAATGCAAAAAAAAAAAAAAAGAGGGGAGGAAAAAAAAAAAAAAAAAAAAAAAAAAAGGAGAATGGAAAAAGAAAAAAAAAAAAAAAAAACACAAACAAAACAAATCCAGAGAGGAGAGGGGGAGCAAGCGGAGAGAAGTTGGCTCGCCGCGCGGCCGAGGAGGCGACTGGCCGAGGAGGTTCGCGAGCCCGGCGAGTCGGCACGGAGGAAGAGGAGCCCCGCGCCAAACCCCCCGAAAGCGGCCCGAAAAGCGGTCGTCCGAACTGTTCCTGCCGAGGGCACGGGCGACGCTCACCGCGCGTCGAGGCGGAGCAAGACGCTGAATCTTTTTATGGGATATATATATACAGTATATATAAATATACATATATATATATAATTTTTTTTTTTTTTTTTTTTTTTTTTCTGTTAGCCTTCTAGCCACGGTTCCCAGCAGGGTCCTTCCGCTGCCATTACTGCATGCTGTATATGGAGTTAGGTGTGTATCGGTCCTCAACGAGACGAGTGTCTCGGTCCACGTGTCCCCAAACCCCCTCGCCCTTCTGCCCTCGGGCTGCCGGGGACGAAGGGCCGTGGGGGACCGGGACCCCCCTCCGTCGCCTTTCGCCACGTGGCCCCGGCCCCTTAGCGGCGGAATAAAGCGAGCCGAGGGAGATCTATATAGCTCAGTTTTATATTTTTATATATATATATATATATATATATGTATGTATATGTGTGTGTGTGCGTGTGTGTGTGTGTGTATATATATATATATATATATATACATAAAAAATGAAAAGAAGTAAGGAAAAGAAGGCGATGTGATTGGCGCCCAGCCGCTGCGCCGTCAGCCAAAACGCAGGACCAGTCGACTCGCTGTCCGTTTTGGCGGGGGGGGGACGGGGGGGGGTCTCTCCTGCGGTCGGTTTTCCTCCTTCGGTTTCCTTTCCTTTCCCCACGGTTGACGGCGGGGGGCACGCGGGGGGGCCCGGGCGCGGGCGGCGAGGGGGGGGCTCTCTCTGCCTATCCATTAAAACGATTGTTCCATGTGGCCGCTCCGTCTGGTTGTGGTGCTCATTGCCGCGGGGGCCGCCCTGCGCTCTCCCCGCCCCAAACCCCCCCCCCCCCCCCCCCAAAACACCACTGGGGATGGGGAGGGGGCACCGGGGGAGGGGAGGAACCACCAAATCATCGCGATGGGCTGGGAGAGCGTCAGCACCCGGACCTCGCCGGTGAGCCCAGCAGGGATGCCCGCACAGGTAAGCGTTTGGTGAGTAGATGGGGAGGGCATGAGCGTGTAGCTCTGCCCTAACCCCCACCCCCCTCTCCTCAAAGATTCCGCCCCCCCCCCCCCCAGCTGCTTGGGACCCCAAAAGCTTTTCGGGTGGCCCTCTGACCTGGCGGCACAATGTGCCAGGGGGATGCTCGTGGAGCTGCCGAAGTGAGTCCTGCGGGAAGGAGAGACGTGGCGATACGAGGTGGGTGTAGGAAAGGGGGTGCCCCCGTGCAAAGCTGTCCACGCAGGGTGGGCACGCATCAGGCTTGGGGGTTTTTTTGGTTTTGTTTTTTTTTTTTTTTTCGTTGGCGTGCAGAAGGTGACTTAGTGCAGCTGGTCCATAACCTCTGGGGTGCCGCTGCCTTCAAGCCACCCAACATGTTTTTGTAGGCTCGGAAGCCAATCGTTAGCGACGGTGGGACTGGTTTGTGTTGTTTTGTGGTTGGTTCATGTTGGCTTTTTTTTTTTTTTTTTTTCAATTTCTCAACCCTACAATGAGTTTGCGTAACCCAAGAGATGAGCACAGAGAACAGGGACGGCAGTGGCTGAGCGATACCGGCGCCGAGTCTTTGTGGCACAGTCCCAAAGAAGGGACGTGGGGACAGGACGGGTGGGCGCGGGCGGCTTTTTGCATCCCAGGGTCAGGATGGCACAGAAGGCGGTGGCCAACCAGCCCTTCTGGCGGCTGTGGTTTATAGGAGAAAGGGTTTGCCACCAAGTTTTGGCTTTGGCAACCTCTCCCAGGGGAAAAAGGTGACGGAGGTCAAAATGCAGGTCTTGGGGACTCCCAACTTTTTAGACGTCTGTAGGTGTTTCTCTCCAGTGGAGATGGGTCCGTTGCCGCATACCTGGTAGAACTGGCGTGTTATTCAGGCTCTGCTGGTGGTGGCAGGATGCCCGGGGTGGGTGGGGGGGCCCACGTGCAAGAGGCAAGCGTTGCGTCTTCGTGGTACCATTGCACCAGTCCTTGCTCACCGATGCGGTGGGTTTTTCTGGGAGAGGCCTAGAACAGAGAAGGTTTGCCGCTGCAGGGTCGGGGGGAAGACATCTTCTCTGGGGCCCTGGCCTGGATGTGAAAGGCAGCGTGGAGGTTAGGACATCGCTCGTCCCGTGCCCGAGGGCCTTTCTGAACCCCTCTGGGGGAGGCTGGTAGGTTTGGGGAAGCACTTACCTTTTTTGCTGGGGTCACTCGAAGGGGCTGCGTGGACTTGCGGTTGTTGGCAGCGGTGCTGGGACGGAGCCGTTTGCTTGTCTGCCTGTTGTGTCAGCGAGGCGTGGGTCCCAAAGTCTGGTGGCGGCCGGTCCCGCCTTAGGGGAGCTTGTTGAGTGTTTTTGCCGGGTTGATAGGGTGCGAAGGTGCAGCACCCCTTGGGGGAGCTGTCTTAGCATTTTTAGGGTGAAATGGTAGCCGTGCTGGATAGACGCCGAGGGTCACGGCTCGTTCTGCTCCCAGTCCTCGCTGTCTTTGACCTTTGATGAAGGCGTTTTGTCCATATCACGCTCTGTCGGATCGTGGACAGGAGGAAGCCACCCTTAGGAGCGTGTCGTCCACAGAGGCGTCCCTTGCACGGCGGGTAGGTTTAGTTGTTGGAGCGGGTCTTGGTATGAGATGATGGAGAAGATGCCGGGAACGGCTCAGTCACCAAAAGGAGGGTCCGTCCCACCCCCCCCACCCCAAGTCATGCCACTTCTGCCGAATGTAGGTGAGGGCTGAAAGCAAAGCCGGTCCTTACCCTGCGGGAGCTCTGTCAGCAGGTACGTGCCCATCGGTGGCCGGGCGATGGAGGCGGGTGGGAGGCGGGAGCCGTCAGCGGAGCCACGAAGCCGGTTCTTGGGGGAGACACAGGACGGGGCGAGGGATGGCCCGAACAGCAGCGGGGGCTCGAAGCGTCTCTGTGGCAGGGAGTGATTGAAAGAGGTTCCCACTTGGGCAAGGCTACGGGAACGAGGGAGGTCCCAGGCACTCGGGATCCATCCCGGCGGGTGCCGGGCGTTGCGTCCCTCCCCCAGGGCACGGGGTCCGCGAAGCAAAGCCCCGAAGGTACAAAGTTCGTCAAACTTTATTGATACACTGCACAATCACAACCATCTCTTATTCTTGCCGAATTAGAAAAGGTTACAACTACAATGTAACATGCACAAATCTCAGGTAGTATAGCCACCCTTGGAATACAATGATGGACGGAAACTGAAGACCGGCCGTTGTGGCCATTGGCAGGAGAGACCCAGGAGCCACGCTCCCCCCGCCGCCCTGGGCACCCGGCCACCTTCCCCCAGCCCCCCCCGAGCGTCCGAATGCGGAGGGTCCGCCGCCGGCCTCGGACAGCCAACACGTTCCTCACAATGGCACGTTACATGGCACGAGAAAGTTGAACGCCGTCCCGGCAGAGGAGGACAGGGGAGCCGACCTGGCCCCGGGGAGGAGAAGGATGGGGCCACGTGCATCGTGGCGTCTCATCGGTGCCTCCGCTCGCTGATGTGCCTCTGGCCCTGCGTGTCTGGGGCGCTAGTTCAGCGTTTCTGCCGCGGGGACAGAGAAATTTGGGGCGGGCTGGCCTGGGAAGGGGCACGGGGAGGTGAGGGTTTGGAGGCAGGGGTGGGATACCAAGGGTAATTTTGGGGCAGGCACGTGGGGAAGGACGTGCGTGCCGCCGTGCCAGCTCTGCAACGGTGCCTGGGGCTGCGGGGTAGGGCCGGGATCGCTGCCGGTGCCGCCTTTCCCGGGATGGTGTTGGAGAGGGACCGCAGGACATGCCCATCAGGTAAGCCAGAGCGTTGGGCCAGCTCCGGAGCAGCCCCCTGCCTCGGGCCACAGGCTTTTTTGCCAATCTGCCGTGGTACATGTTGGACATCCAGCGTGCGGAGGGCAGGAGCATCCATTGAGATTTTTGTAGCTGTTCGGTTTGGTTTATTTTTTTTTTTTTTTGGTGACAGCCTTGCACCCCGTGCCAGTCGGCGTGGGTCCCGGGTAGCCCGTGGAGAGTGGGGATGAGGAAAGGGGACGGCAGCGTAGAGGATGGGGTTCGTGGCCGTCGCAGCCTCCAGCTCAGAGTTATTTGTTTGTTTTTTTTTTTTTTAATTGTTGGTCCCAGCTTCCTCACAGCTGCAGAAAGCAGGACGGCAGGGCAAGGAGGTTTCAGCAGCAGCAGCGTTTGCATGGGAAAGGTGGCGTGTGCGGGGCCGTTGCTCTTCAACCATCTCTCTTACGGAGGGAGAAAGAAAGGGCAAGGCACGGGGAGGTGTCAGCTCGGGATCGGGGGACGCTTTGCGTGTCGCTGTAGGGTCGAGTCTCCCTGGCACAGGCACAGGGTCCGGCGCCACATGTGACTTTTCAGGAGCAGGACAGGAGGGTCTGTTCCCAAACCACAGCCCCAAAGCGTTCCCGGACGGCCAGGGAGCATTGGGAAGGCTCCCATGTAGCAGGTGAGGGGGAACCGTGGCATTGGGGCATGCAATTTGGTGCGTGGGTGTGGGCAGAAGCTCCCAAGGTGCCTGGAGGAAGCAGAAGGTAGAGTCTGGGTGCACCCATTTTGGTGCTGAAGGCCTGGCGCAGCGGGGAGGATCATCAAGCTGGGGGGCAGCGGGAATCAACGGAGCATCCTCCGTAGGGTCAAAACGCATCGGGGAAAAGGCAAATGTTGCAGCTCAGGGGTGGCTCCCGTGTTTCTGCCAGCGCTGGGGGAGGCGGAGGTGCTTGGCCGAAGGGTAGGGGGGAGCCACGCAGGGAGCCAGTGTGGAGCAACGGAGGCACAGCCCTCAAGGCTGGGAGCACAGGGTTCCGGGTGTGCGTGGACAGGCGTGAGCGTCGGGAGCCGTAGCAGAAGGGCCTCATCACCCTGTGTTTTGCTGTGTAGTTTAGTGCCTCTGCCCCACGCTGACGTACAGGTTGGAAAGCGCTTGGAAAAAACAGCCTGGAGGACTGGGTGTCGGTGGGGCGAGACTCACGGGGCAGCAGTGGAGCGAGGAGGGGCAACGGCTGGAACAGTGGGAAGGCTCTCGTCCCCGCAAAGGCGACCGACAGTCGCCAGGGCTCACGTTCCCGGGCGAGCGGCTTTGCGTCATCAGGGAGGTGGGGTGCAATGTTAGCAGTGACCTTGAAGGATAACTAGTTGTGGTGGGTGACCCCCCCCCCTCCTTGGGTCTCGGGGAGCAGGAAGGGCCCGGGAGCGGAGGCAAGGCCGGGTGCTCAGGGAGCTTTGGCGGTGAGAACTGGACATTCAGGACCGAGAGGGCTGAAGGCAGAGCCGGGGTGGGGCTTCATCCTTGGGGTCTTTTTGGGCATAGGCGGCTTAGCGAGACGATGAGACGGATGTCCCCGGTGACGGCTCCGGGCAGCGCCCGCCCCGCGCCCACCGCGAGCCTCATCCGTGCCGGACCGCGTCCCCGGGGGCGACGGTGGCGGGTGACAGTCTGGTGGCACGTGGTGGGGTCTGTACAGCGTAACCGGCGGCGAGAACGATCCCGGCACGCGGGAGAGGGGGGCCATCCTCGGACGCTCGGCGCCGCCGCCCGTCCTCCGGCGCATCGCCCGTCCGACGGAGAGGAGTCCCCGGGCGGCGCGGCGGGCCGAGCCCGTGGCGGGGGAGAGGCGCGGCGGGGCCTCCCGGGACCCTCCGCTCCCTTATCAAAAGTCGAGGAGGAGGCGAGCGAGGAGGGCAGCCCAGAGGCAGAGGCCGGCGGCTGCCCGGGATGCCGCGTTGCCGCCGTCGTGCACCGCTCCAGGCCCTGTGCGGGGGGAGAGAAGAGGAAGACGAAGGACAGCGTTAAGGCTAGTGCTGAGCGGGTGCGATAATGCAAAGGGAACACCCCCCCCCTGCAGTTCCCTGCCTCGTTCACATCCCACCCTCCATCCCCCAGGATTGGGCTGGGGCACCCCCTCTGGGGGGGGGGTTGCGGGGTGGGTTTGTGGGGAGAACGTAGCCGGCGTCGGGGAGGAGCTCAAGGGACATTTAGGAGGAGGCACGGTCCTTGTTGGAGGAGGAAGGTGCCCCCCCTCGGCTCGGAGATTCCCATGCAGTGGCACAAGAGCAAGGCTGGGGGTGCCCGTGGCGTCCTGGAAGGGTGCTCTCTCATTTTGGGTGGACCCGGCCATTCTGCCCATGCAGTATGGCATGCAGTATGCCATGCAGTATGCCTGCTGTGAGGATGGGCAGCCAGCGCAATCACTGGGGGCTAGTTCCTGTCAGGCAGGTGTTTAGGATGGTCAGGGGAGCGGTGGAGAAGCTGGATGTCCCTTAACAGGAGGAGCAGACAGGCCAATCAGTGAGGGAGGCTGCCGGGACACCAATGGGAAGCCCATTTTTTGGCCAACGTGCCTAGGGCCGTGGACAAGACACGAGCGGCAGAGCAAGAGATTCATGCCAATGAGCAACAGAGACACGTCGCTGGGAAAGGCTGGGTGTGCATGCGCGTGGTGGGTCACGGTGTGGGGGGGTGCAGGGGCGCAAATACAACGTCATGCTCAGCAAAGAGGCAAGCAGCCACGAGAGAGCCAGAGGGGATCGGAGACCTCGGCACTCAGGAGCAGTGTGGCTGGCAATAAAGGCTCGCCAACCCGGGAGAGGACACTTTCCAGGTGCGCGGGGTCTCAGGTACGTTGGGACATTTTGGGGTCACTGTGTGGGGGGGTTCTCGGCAGGCAGGCCAGGCGAGGAGGAGGTGGGCGGGTGGCTGTTGGTGTATGTGACAAGGGCAGAGGTTTGTTGCGTCTTGTTGGGAAAGATTTGGGTTGCTGGGTGCATGAGGGCACCAGGTGGGGTTGGAGAAGACAGCGGGGCGGAGCGAGGGAAGCAAAGGCCTCCCTGTGCCTGCGGAGAGGCAAGAGGAGATGATGATGAGGGACAGGGATGGAACAGGGCCATGGCACGGGGCAGGAACAGTGGTAGGGCTGGAAGGCTTGTCCTCTGAGGAGCAGCCAAGGACTTCTGAGTCAATGTAGTTAGAAGAAAAGGTGGTCAAGGGATGTCTGCCACATCCTGAGGTGGGCACCTTCATGTCCAGGATTCAGGGACAGGTCAAGGCTGAGCCAGGGGTGGTTTAGAGTGGATGCGAGGAAGTTTTTTTTAATGAGAGGTGGTCAAACCCTGGAACCGGCCTCCTAGAGAGGGGGTTGATGTGCCTGTCAGTGTTTAAGAGGCATTTGGACAATGCCTTTCACAACAGGCTTTGGCTCAGTCCGCCCTGAAGCGGTCAGGGAGTTGGACAGGATGATCGTTGTGGGTTCCTTCCAAGGGAAATAGACTATTCTACCATGTTCTATTCTATTCGAGTAGAGGCATGTCTGAGCCTAGGTGTCACAAGGTGGATCAGTGGGCGGAGGAGCGGGAAGCCGGAGGGTTGGGAGGGCAGGTGGGAGAGAGCGAGCACGATATGAAGCAGTCTTCTGCCTTCTCCCCTGCCTGCTTCTGTCCCCGTTTTTCCCTCTCGAGCCCTGTTTCTCCCTCTCTGTGTCCCAGTTGGCCGTGTTCCGCATCGCCCCATGTCTGTCCCCACTCAGCGTCTGTGTGTCTTCCTCTGTATCTGCTTGTGACTGCATTGCCATCTGTCCTTTCTCTCCTTCCATCCCTGCATCTTTTCCTCTCCCTGTATTTTGCCATCCATTCCTTTGTCCCTGCTTCTGTCTCCTTGTCTGTCTCTGTTTTTCCCCTGTGCCCACATACCCCTTGTCTGCCTCTGCACTTCTCCCTCCCTGGATCCATAATGCTCTCTTTATGCTGATGATTTTGCCTCATACCGTGTCTCTCCACCCACCTTCCCTTCTTCCCTCCATCCCACCTCTCCATGTCCGAATCCTTGTCCATCTCTGTCCATCTCTCTCACCCCACCTCCCCTCGTTGGCTGTCACTCCCCCCGAGGCCCCTGTTCCCCCTCTCTCTGATTCTCTTTCCATCCCACCAGCCCCCCATCCATTTCCCACATCTCCTGCTCCAAGTCTCTCTCTCTGTGTCCATCTCCCTCCTCCATTTTGTGTCTTTCTGTCTCGATATACCCTATCTCCCTGCTCTGTGTAGGTCAATCCTTACCCTCCTTTTTGCCCATCCTCAGTTTTCTCTGCCCATCACCCCCTCTGTCTGCCTCCCTCTCTCTCTGGGTGCTGTCCCTCCAGGTCTCTTCTTTGTCTCACCCCCTTTCTTTTTCTCCCATGACCGGTTTTCTCCCTCTCCCTGCCTCCCCTTCAGTCTGTTCCCATCTCCTCCTTTCCTCCTCTGTCCCTCTCCCTTGTTTTGTCCCCCCCCCTCCTTGTATCTCAGCCCCTCCCTCTCTGTGTCTGAATGTCTCCCTCTCTGTCACCCTATTCCTGGCATCTCTGTGCTTTTCCCCTCCGTCTGTCTGTCTGCCTTTTCTTTGTCTCTGTGTGCGCCTCACGGTCAGTCTCTGTCCCTCCCTCCCTGTGTCGCTGCGTCTCTGTCTCTCTGGCCTCTGCCATCTCTTTTCTTTCTCTCCGTGTCTTGTGCTATCTCTTCCTTGGTACATCTGCCCGTGCTGTGCCGCATCCCACTTATTACCTAATCCATTTTTCCCATGCCAGCGTCTCTCTGCCCATCTCCCCCTACCACCCCCTGTCTCTTAGAGCCCTTATCAATGCCCCTGTGTCATGCTGTCTGTGCCCTTTTCTGTGTGCCTGTCTGTCTCCCTTCTGAGTTTTGGCCTCTTTCCAGCCCCTGGTCTTTGTGTCTGTCTCCCTCTCCCTCTGCCTGCTCAGTGTGTTCCCTCTCCTGCCCTTGCACGTGTCCCCTTTGCCGGGTGTCCCTCTTAATGTCTGTCTGCTGTCTCTCTTCCTCTGGTACCCTCTCCCCTGGCTCATCTTTGTCCCGTCTCCTTTATCTCTTTCTGCATCTCTCTGATGGTGCATCTAACTCCCTTTTCTCTGTGCCCCCCACCCCATCTCCCCGTCCTCCCTCCCGGCACTTCCCCTGCCGCCGCATTACTGTCTAGCCATCCTCTCAGTCTCTGTGCTGTATGTCTCCTTCGACGTGTGCCTCGGAGGTTTCCCTCTCTGCACATCTGCCCAGGTCCCCCTTTCCCTCTGCGTGTCCCCCCACTAGCAAGGCTCATGGGTCTCCCTCTTTCCCTGCCCCTTTCTGGGGGTTCATTGGTGTTCCTGGTGCCTGCCCAGCACCCTCCCTATGCCTCTCCAGCCCCAGGCTGGCTGTCTCACCACCCCACCCACTTCTGCTCATGGTTTTTTCCCAGTCTGGCACAGTCTCTCCTTTCCCTCCACGGGTCACCCTCTCCACACCCATGTTGGTGTGTCCCTTTTTCCATGTCCGCCTCCCTCTCTCAACCCCCCCAATTCCTGGTCCCTTGTCTCTCCCGCGATGCCCTTTGGGAAGTTGTCTCTCCCCTTTCTGGCTGTTTTCCCTTCGGCACCCCAATGATACCCCCCTACCCCACCATCTCTGTGCCCCTGAGTGGCTCCTTCTCTCCCTGTCACTTTTTGTCCCCTCTTTCTTTGGAATCTGACCCGTGCATCCTGCTCCCTGCCCTGCATTTGACCATCTTGTGTTTCACCTCTGATCATCCACGCTGCCTTTGGGGTAGCTCTGCTCTTCCTCGCCTGTTTTCTTGGCAGTGTGGTTGCTCCATCTCCCTCTTTCTCTGCCTCTCTCCTGCTGAATCTCTGATGGTATCTGTTGTGCTCTCTCCCTTTCTGCAGCCCTCCCTCTCACTCTGATCCCCTGTTCCTCTCTTTCTCTTGGTGCTGCCCTCACCCCCATTCCTGGCTGTTGCACCATGCAGCTCTCCTCTTTGTATGTTGGGTTTTTTTTGTGGTTTGGTGCCTCCTTCCCATTGCCGCTTTCCCTGTCTCTCCATGTCCTGAGGTCTCCTTTCCCCTGTGTCTCTCCCCACTTCACCCTCCTAACACCTGTCTGACTGACCAACGTTGCTTTTCTGTTGCAGCACGCTCACCACAACTCCTTACTTTCCTGTCCTGGAGCCAAGATGTGCCCCAAATAGCTGGCAGGCCTCTCCACCACCCCAGCAAACAACTCGTCTGTGGCAAGAGGCCGACTCTCTCTCTTGGCCTGAACACATCGTGCCCTGAGGGGTTCCCGAAAGTGGGGGCAAACTGAGCTGTGAAGAACCCATGCTGGTGGTCCCTTTTACCTCGAGAAGGCTTGGGAGATGCCAAGAAACGGGCCCCAGGGAATATACGGCCACTGAGAGACTGACACAGACTAAGGGACAGTAACCATGAGACCGAAGTGTGACCAAGACATGATGGGTGACAGAAAGATGCCTTTGCAGAGACTCAGCTGGCCAACAAGAGGACAGAGCAATGGAACAGAAGGTGGGGCGTGAAATTCCCAGATGCTGAAGAGGCCAACCCAGACTGGCCTAAGGAAACAGCCAGGGCTGCCCCACAGCAGAAACCTCCGGAGATGGATGAGTGTGATGCACACACAAGGACCAACGAGAACAGGCTGAGACGCAGAGAGAGGGCAATAAACTGGGAGAGGACCACAGCCAAGCAACATGCACAAGGCCAGACAACTGGGAACCTCACAAGGGGCAGGTGAGATGCAAGTGAGGGTGCTCTGGACTGCCACAGACCCAAAGCACAAGCACACGTGCCTACAGAGACACCCAGAGACCAAGATCAAGGTAGAATCTCATCCCCACCCCGCAGGAGATGTGCACAGACACGCTGTGACACAGGGTGGCACCCAACGTGCCAGGAGACACCGTGGGAGAGTTCCAGACCCACCACTGCTGCCCTGCAGCAGCACGCTGACAGATCAGCAGAAAGAGGAACGACCGGACACCCTGCGGTACATGGCACGGCTGAAGACAGAGCCCTACACGGACTCCATCCCAAAACACCGTCTGGAATGGGGACAAAGACCTAGAGGCAGAGAGGGAAAGTACCCTGAGACACAGGCAAGGACGGAGCAAGCCTCAGAAGCTGATGGAGAGACAGCCCAAGGCTTCACCCCTAGACCCTGTCCAAGCTGCAACCCAAAGAACCCTCAGTGACCAGGAGGCTACAGAGAACCGTGGTGCCCATGCCACCCCGCACAAAACGGTGGCAGGACCTCTCTCCCCGCAGGAACCTGCCCTTCCCTGCACAAATCAGAGACAGGCTGCAGCCCCTCTGCCAAGGAAAAACAGACAGCCCCCCCTGCACGTTGGTATGCAACTGTTTTGTTTTTTTTTTTCCCAGAAATTAATAAAGTTTTTTCCCTGACGTAAGTACTCTTCCTCCAGCACAGCTCCTGCAATGCTACCCACACCCCCCCCACACCCCCCGCCCCGTTGACACCAGTGCTGTTCTCTCTGTCCCGCCGTGAGCGGTGAGGATCAGGCTTTGGATGAGACCCCAGGGCCATGCACTGGACTGGGACACAAGCTAACCCACCCCGGACCACAATAGATTTATGCCAGACCAGACCACAGTGGAACTCACTAGACCTGACTAGGATGGACTGGCTGGACAGAAACAAAAGACCGGGACATGATAGACCAGCCCGTATCAACTTTCATCTGATCAATTAGAACATAAGACAACAGAGAGGGGGGGAACAGAACCCCACTGTTTCTTAGACCCAAACAAAAGAGAGAACTGATTAGAACTGAATTGACCAGACCCAAACAGAGACTATGACAGAATAGACTGGGGCTGCAAAACATAGACCTTATGAGAGCCTAACAGAATGCTTTAGAACAGACCTGAGCAAACCGAAACATACTGGAACAGCTTCAACCCTGACAGAAGGGGACTAACCTGGACAGGCTGAGCCAGAGCAAAGCAAACCAGACCAGAATAGAATATGCCCCGCCAGATCAAAACTGACTGCTACAAAATAGAAAGACAGCATGACCAAACGCATGAGAACAGAAGAGAGCCCACGAGATCAGGAATAACGAATTGGGGGCAGGGAGGAACACAAGGATGGGACACCAGGACACATTAATTCCTTTGGAAGCGACCTATGCCCGATCCAACCCCGACCAAAACATCAACGCGTGTCAGTAAGGGCTTCACCCCAACGCCTCAGGACGTAGAAACACCCTCTCAGGAAAGGCACGATGCCTCCACCTCTGCTCTGCCGTACCCCACCCCAGCCAAGCTCTCCTCTCAAGCTACCCTGTGCCCTCCTCCCCCACTAAAACACGTACGCATCCCCTCCTCCCAAGGAACACCACCAGGAACCCCCAATGCTGCGCACCCCATCGCTACCTACCTAGCATCCCCCCACCCACAATGACCCACAGTCCCTAGAAGCCACCCCAAATCACCAAGTGCTCTCCGGGGCCACAGGACAGCACCTATCACCACCAGTAGCCGAGACACGGGCCCCCACCGCAGCACGACACTTCGCCCCCGCTGTCCGCCCTGATGCTGCCGAGGTGATGCCGCACGGAACCCTCCCGCTCACTCTCCGCATCTCCTCCAGCCTGCCGCCCAACTCCATCCTCTCCCTCGCACTACAGCGGTTGAAAAACCCCGGGCTGTGCATCCGAAGCGCGTGCTCACCTCGGCCCTGCGCTCCAGCGATGCCGCGGCTCAGCCGGGAGCCTCTTCTCCGGCCCCGGCTCCGCAAAGATGAACGGCCACCCACCACACAACGTGGTGTAGGGCCCCTAAACACCCGTGAGCCCACCACCACGCGCCCCTAAACAGCCCTGAGCCCACCACCATGGAGGATCTCATCATCTGACGCTTGGCTCGCCGGACCTTGCCGCCCCAACCTGGTGCCCTCAATGGACCGGCAACGTTAAATATGGCCACCTCCCTCTTCATCCTCCTCCTCCTCGCCTGTACCTTGCTGCACCTACCGTACAGGATGATGCTGGCGTTGGTGTTGCCCAGCTTGTTCGTGGCCACGCACGTGTAGTTGCCGTAGTCCTTCTCCGAGACATTGAAGAAGGTCAGTGTCGACAGGCGGCCCTTGCTCTCGATCCGCACGCCCTCCAGCCCGTTCGCTAACCTGCGGGGAAACGCGGATGCCAACGCTCGCAGCGCCGCGCCAGCCCTTTGTGACCTATCGTGCTCCCTTCCCTTCCCACTATACACCCGCATGTTCCCCCACTAGAATCCCCACATCCCGCTCCCCAAAAGCATGCCATGCTCTCCACCCCGTAACCCATCTCCACAAGCCACCAACCCCAGGAGAAACAACCCTGGGACCCCCTCGTCCCTTAGCCAAGCGCTCGGACCCACCAAAATGTGTTGATCCCCGCCTTCCTCTGGACAAAGTCCTCAGCCAGGAGACTGGAGTGGTTGCCCCCCCCACCCCACCTCCACGGCCCCTCACCTGGTGTCCTCCTTGAACCACTGAAACTCCGCCACGGGGACGGCCGAGGCCTCGCACTGCAGGATTCCCTTCTGTCCCACCGAAGCGCCCGTGTTCTTGGCGTTGGAAATGTACGGCGGGTCTGCGGAGACGCCGTGCCCGTGTCACGCTGGGCGCCGTGCACACCCACCCTGCCACGATCCCCCCCCATCCCTCGCACTCACAGTTGACGGTGACTTTGACTTTCCGCACGTCCGGGACGGCCACGTCGTTGACGGCGCTGCACTCGTACTCCCCGGACTGGTCCCGCGTGATGCCCGTGATCTCCAGGTACTCGTCCTCGCTCACAAAGCCCTGCCCTGGGAGACGTCCCGAACGCGTGGCACCATCACCCTTCACCCAGAAAACTTGGAACATCACTTAACGAGCATCCTCACCCACACAACCAGGACACACCAAAGGGCCCAGCGCCTCCACAAAAGACGCCGGCAAACCGTGGGCCACCTTTGTGCCCACCCCCCCAGCCAAATCTACGGGGACATCCAGCCATCCCACACGCACCAGGTGAGACCTCTCCTCGGACCCGGGCGGCTCGTCCCCTAAGAGTGGTCTCACCTTTCCCGGAGAGGTGCCGCCACGTGACGGTGGGCTCCGGTCTCCCGAAGGCCAGGCACATGAGGGTCACGCTGCTGCCCTCGTTCACGGTGATGTCCGACGAGATGTTGACGATCTGGGGGGGAACTGCAAGACACCGAGAACAGCAAAGCCACCGTCAACACACCGCCTCGCCGGGCCCTGCTGGGCACAGCGCCTGAATCCGCCCCCGTGTCCCCAAACTGGTACCTCAGACCGGAGCTGAGCGCAGACCCGGGGCACGGAGGGCTCCAGAAATGCCAGACCCCCCCACCCCGCTGCAGCTGAGACCCCAATAACCAGCTCTCGTTATGGCCCGCGACAAGGCTTGTATTTGAGCATATTTATTAAAGCTGTTTAAATTACTGAGCGTCCGCTCCATTCAATACTGGCCACGGTGATTTATATTACTCTATCCCCAGATACTCCACCTAATAAATAACTTGGCAATCTCTGCACCCATAAATATCCCCAACCCCAGCAAAAAGCGATTAAAGCCTGCTGAACGTCACCACTTCCCGCTGCTCCGGGCTGGCAGACACGGCCCCCGAAACGGCCTGCGCCCTTGGGAAGAAAATTCAGCAACCTGCCCAAAACTAAACACTGCTTTTACGACACCAGAAAAGATGCCCTGTGCCCCCCCTCCCCAAGCACACGAGCTGCCGAGAGCCCCAGCTTGCGTGGCGTCAGCACGCCCGACCCTCGTGGCGAGGGCTCTGCTGTGGCACTGGGATGATCACCTGAAAACCACTGTGGCTGACACTGGCACGGCCTGGGAGGGGTTGTGAGGACTGCCCGGTTCTCCTCTCACCCCCTGGGGACTGTCCCTGCCCTGCCGAGGCTGCTGCATCATTGTCCAAATTAACCAGGCTGGGTAAAGACAGAGGGATGCTCAGTGGAGTGCTACAGCTACCTCTCCTGAGGACCTCAGTCTAAGCTGCCTCTGAGCCTCACCAGGCTTAAAAAAAACAAAAACAAAAACAAAAACAAAATAAAACAGAACACCCCGAGTGATCCTTTCCCCTCCCTCCCCAGTGCAAGAGAGGTGGGACACACTGCGTCTTTGCCATGGCAAAGACACGGCGTGTCCCGCCTCTCCCACGGTGCGGTCTCGGCAGCCCGATGGGCCCTGCAAAGCAGTAAATTTCCCAGCAACTTGACACATTAATATAGAAGTACAGTCTGTTACAGCAGAGGGAGATTGGCTGAGTCCTTCAGGGGAAAGCGGCAATCCAAAAATGAAAAGTGTGTGCTGGAAAATGTAGTTACCGCTTGGAGCGGAGCTGGCTGGCTCGGAGGGTGCGGCCCCGACGGGAAGGCTGCCGATGGCCTTTCCTCACTCCGAGGGGTGATTTTATCCCCTATTATCAGCGTTCCCCCTCGGCTAACAGCAGCTCTGACAGCTACCGGGAACATCTGAAAGCAACAGCGCCCAAGCCAAGCCTTCCCACCACTGGGCATTTACCACCCGCTCACGAGCCAGCCCTCCCCACGAGCCGTTTTGGTCCGAGATGGCAGCAATTAATGGATGCTGAGACCCTAGGACCCCTGCCTCTCCCTCGTTTGCTCTTATCTACAAAAGCCGTGGTGCTGGACGGGAGTGGTGGTACGTGGTGCAGGGCACTGGCAAAACCCACAGCCATCGCACCATCCCCGCCGGCGCACGTGGGCTGCTCTCCCTTCCCACCCGCGTCCCTCCTGGCACTTCTCCAAAATGATCCTCCCTGCTCTACACTTCGCTCTACCTGAGAGGCATGCAAGTCAAGGGGGGAAAAAAACCAAACCAAAACAAAAACCCAACAAACTAAACAACAAATAAACACTATGCTGACATTATCTGCTTCTCACAGCCGTACTAGATATACGTGCTCTCGGTACAGACTAATGCTTGCAGGCGAGCGCGCTGCCAGAGGCCACCTCCAAGGCAGCTAATGCCAACTCTCAATCCTCGGGGGCCACTTGCTTGAGAGCCCCCCCGTGCTCAGAGCTCCTCTTCCTCCCTGTGGTGCCATGCCAAGGGGAGGGCGAAGAAAAGGGCTGCACCATCGAGCCTGCATGCCCTGCCTGAGCGGCACCCCGATAAAGACCTGAACAGACATAAACAGAAAACGTTTATCCAAAGAAGACAAGGCGATCCGCAGCCCCCGGCAGAGATTTCATCTGCTGCACAGGAGTCGAAATTAGCTCCGCACGTCCTTCCGTGCACAGCACCCGCTCCGCTCCTGTATTTCTTGCATCACCTGCCTCCTGCACGCAGCCCTGCTGAGGTAAGACACAGCTCTGAACGCAGGTGTGAGCCTCTTCCCCTCCCAGGCACAGAAATCCATTCACTCCTGAGTGAAAAAATACTGCTACCAAGAGGCATTACTGCCCCAATGCTGCTCGAATCCGATCAGAAACACCCCCGGGAGCCGGCAGGAATGTGTGGCAGGAGGATGCCATGGAGAGCGCGGGGATCCCGCCGCACGGCTCAATACCCCGCTGCGATGACGATCGTTGCCTACAAGGTTACCAGGACTTGGAGAAGGACGTTTAAGGACCTTGATTCCATTTCTATAGATCCCACCAGCCACGCTGTTGAGGACAGCATCTCAAGGGCGCACCAGCTTTGCCTTGAGGCAGGGCTTAATCCCACGGGAGGAGCGCGCACGGGCAAACGTGACCGTGTGGATCATCAAAGCAACCTGCGGCTCTGCCCCCTAAATACGGGTATGACCGTGGCACACGCACGGCTGCCCTGAGCAGTGCGTCCTGCCAGAGCTGCTCAAGATGGGCACAGCTTGGGCTCCCAGTCCCCAAAGGGCCAGGTCACACAGCCCTGCCGCTACCTCGCGGCCCGCCGGCGTGACTATGGATGCTGTTTCGAGTTGATGGCATCCTTCCGTTCTTTACATTTACCTCCCTCTGTCCTAGAGCCCCTACAAAACCAATATCCAGTCGTTACGACAACCTCTGCTCACTACATAGAGAAGATAATAAACGATCACTGGGTGAACAGACTAACAGCCCGAGAAGCGGTGAGAGCGGGGCCATCTCGGCGTGAGAGATGCAGCACCACTGCCCGCTCTGCTCTTCACCAGGTTAACGCTGCCTCATGCACATAATATACTTTATAACACCTTGCTGTACTATATATAATGTACTATATAACACCTTAGCATGTCACCACACACCTGATCATACGATAGCTAAGGAAAAAGGGTGAGACTCTCCTCCATCGCTTGAGGGCAATGAAGCCATAGCAGGCAGAGGCCCCCACGTACGAGATATCTGCCTGAATTAAGCAGCACTCAGCTGCATTCAGAGGGGATGTGGATTTTGGGGGGGGCTGCTGGGGTTGCGCACTGGATGGCTGCAACACTTTCCCCCTCCAGACGTCCTCCCCAGCCCCCAAACTGCTCACAGGACTGGGGCAAGATGTTTGGCTCCTAGAGCTGAGGAGGGAAAAGCGATATGGTGACACACGGTCCCTATCCCCGCTTATTCATAGTCCTGCCTTCCTTGTAAAGGACTACAACTCCAAGCAAACTGGATACAGAATAAATCCCTGGGGAAGCAAGGAGCGGAGCACTCTCCAGAGCAGTGAGCAGCCTGCGGAGGATTTTGTCGACCCTGCGTAATATTCATCACAGGTAAGTTAATGCATAATGTTTGGTAGGCCCAAAAATATGTGCTGTAATTTCTTGTTTGTTCGGAAAGTCAGAGAGAAAAATTGAATGTGAAAGCGATGCCACTAAATTCAATAACAATAAGCCCGTGATTCATCTCCTTTACTGCTCGAGACTCGAACTGCCCGGTGTGCCGATTCACACTCTCCATCGTGCCCAGGCGTGTGCTGCTTTCTGCCACCGCTCGTGGGGACCGTGAGACACCGACCCTCCCTTCGCCTCCCAAATGGATCACAGCAGTCTGTGGCATCACGATCCTGCGATGCCACGTGCCGTACTTGAAATATCCCTTACAGCCAAGCATTCCCCGGGGACTCCCCCAAACACCACCGGTCCCTGGGGCTCCTCTGGGTGCTGGCTTTACCTGTTTGGGGACAAAAGCTGGGACCTTGTGAGCCACTATCAGACACCCAAGAATGAGGAGGGATGGCCACCACCTCGCCCGGGGAGGTGGGGATGCCTCTTCCCTGCCCAACCGTGCAGGAAGGGGCAGCACGTCGGTAAGCGCTGCGTGACCGTGGGCTACACACGCCGGCGCGTGGGCCGACTCATCTCCCTGCCGCGGCCCCGGACTAATTTTAGCTGCCAAATCATTACTGCCGCACGACTCGGAGCGGAGAGCCTGCTCAAGCGCTGCGGCTGATGTCCCTCCTCCACATCATTAGCTCCTAAACCCTGAAAACAGACCTCTTCCCACACCTTTGATAAGGTAAGATGATAGATGGATACCCATGGGCTCTTCAGGCCCACCTCAACTTGAGGGACATGGCTCCACGGGGACAACCCTGCCCGCAGAGGGGGACATCTCACCTTCGGTGCTCAGCAGGGAGGTGATAGCCTCCATGGACACCATCCTGGCACCTTGCTTACCACCTAATTCTCTTCCTAATACTGGGGAGATGCAGCGCTGATGCCTCTCCTTCGCCTCTGCAGCCGCATCAGGGGTCTGCACCACCTCCCTCTCCCTGGTACCCCCGTCTCTGTCTCCATCCATAGGCAGGATGGAGCTGTCAGAGCACAAGGACTCATCGGCGTGCGGAAAGGGCACAAAGGCGGCAAAGACACAGAAAGCTCGCCTTTTCCCTGTGCTTCCCCTCCCCTTCACAGATGAGAAGCACGGCGGGATGGCACTGGTGGCCTCCGGTCTGTCCCTGCGTGTCTGCTGAAGGCACTGCCGATACAACGTCTTCCAGAGAACAGCTCTCGTTGGGGGCTGATGCCCTGAAGGAAGAGATGCGGGCGCGCACCCGCGTGCCAGCTCCTGGCTGGACAGATAGAAATGGATGCATTCCTTGCCTCCCAACTAATTTTTAGTTTTGGGGCACAGCCACGGAACATGCACCTTAGCTCTGTGCCAACGCACCTCAACGTCCCGTCTATCCCGAGAGGGAGGTGATGGGGCGGGTGAGGAGGCGACGTCAGGAGATTTAACGGAGTGTT